ATCTATCTATCTATCTATCTATCTATCTAATCATCTATCTAATCATCTATCCATCTAATCATCCATCCATCCATCCATCCATCCTCCTTTCAAATATTGGAACACCTAAATATTAAAAATAAACCTCTAGATTTCTTTACTTCATTTCTTGTCATACCTTATTATTTCATCATATCAATTGAAACACATTACTATAACCCCAACCATTTAAATAAATTAAATAAAATGAAATAAACAAATAAACTTAAAACTGGTAAATGATCCGATCAAATAAATGCAGCAGGTGTCCTGAAGAGCACAGCATCACTTCATCAGGTTAATCTAAGTTAAAAAAAAAAGAGAAAGATAAATGTTCAATTAGATTTTTGATGAAGCAAAAATAATAATAAAAAAAACAAGTTTTGAACCTGTCTTTACCTCCAACAACAAGTTTTGTTGAACACTCCGCTCGACCCAGAGGATTTTCTGCAACAACAGTGTAATCCCCGTTGTCCTTGAGCCTCACGTTGAGTATCAGCATGGAGCAGACCCCACACGTGTTGGTGATGTAGTAGTTAGGGTTGGTGTTGAGGCCAATGTTGTTTTTGTACCAGGTAACACGGGGTCTGGGGTCTCCCGTCACCGCACAACTCATGTAGCACTCGTATCTCTCAGGACTTTTGTGCAGTTTTAGGGGAACAGAAAATGATGGAGGCATCTCAAAATTGCAACTTTTGGAGGTGGGAAGTGTCACAGAAAATTTCTCTGGAGGCATAGAATAAAAATGTGTAAGACAATTATAGATAAGCTTTTGATGACCAAGCTTTTTTCTTRGAAATACACAAATGTCACAGTGCTTTATTTAGCACACATTTAGTTCCAATTTGTAATTTTAATTTGACCAAGTATTTAAAAAATCTCTTTTTTTTTTGCGAGCTTAACTGTTGCCAAAAGATGTTGCCTCAGTGTCTTAAAGCTGTTAAAGATAAGTTAAAAACCCTCACATTTTAGTTTTATTTTAAAACATACCTTTCTTCTGGTGCACTTCCCAGGTTGCTGACTCAGAATGTTTAGAAAGACCCATGTCATTCTTGGCATAGATGCGGAACTTATACTGCCGTCCTGGCATGATGTTTATGGCAGTGAACTTGTTGTTGAAGAGATGGTGGGCCACAGTTTGCCAAGTACACTTAAAAKAATCATGTTTGGTGACAATGTAGTGCAATCTGTTGTCCTTCTTCTCATCTGGAGAGGGAGTCCATGAAACTGTGACTGTTCCTGACACATTCTCCTCCAGCTCTACAGGGCCAGGAGGCTTTGGGTCATCTATGAACAAAGTAGCAAATTATTAAGAATATTTTTATGTCACATGTCAAAGAGTGAATTTAAAAGTCTGTTTGGCTGGTAATTGTTAGTGATTGACTAAAATCACTTAGAATTTTAAAGGGGCAATATCATGTAAAATCAACTTTTGAGTTTTATATCATGTTATAATGTTATACTCTCATAAAAAAACATGCCCAAAGCCTTGCTTTGACYCATTCATGCATGTTTGAGAAATCCTGCAGCATTTTTAGGCAGCCATGCTGAGGATCAAAAYGACAGGTGGGGACTAGGTTTGGGCAATATTGGCAAAAAAAAATCACGATTAATTGTGTTATTTAGCCAATAACGATTAATTTGACAATTAATCCCCCGGGCATCCTTATGTCCTAGTCACATGACTAATTTAGTGGGAAAGATTTGCTCTTCAAAAAAATCTGTTACAAATTGTATCAAAATCACAGACTTCAGGCTATACATCAAATTTTAAATTGTGTTGATGGATAAATAAATTACAGAACTTTTTTAATGTTCATCATATTTGAAGCGRAGAGGAGCATCAAGCAGATTCTACCTGGTGGCATTAATCGTATTAATCGTCAAGTGCAAAAACATAACCGATTAATGTTTTTCTGACGATTAATTGCACACAATACGAACACCCCTGGGATGTGTCTTTAAGCCAAACTTCTTCATGGCGGAGTGCCTCCCCCCCCCCCCCCCACACACACACACACACACACCCTGCCCATGACTCCTGCAGGCTCTCTGGTGAAAATGAAAGTGAAACTTAAACTGTCTGCTGAGCTAACACTACTTCTCACTCAGTGAAGCTCTTTTCAGATTAAAATACCTTTGAGGAAATGTATTTTCAGATGCCAAGTAGACTGCATCATGTTCCCCCCCCTCCCCCCGCACTGAAATGGGCGAGACAAAAGCGGAAGGTGGTTCTTAAAGAGACAGAGGCCAATTTCAAGGCCTTTAGAAGAGCAAGTGATGAGAATATAAGCTTATTTTCTATTTAAACATAAAAACAGCATTTTAATAACAGCTAGATACTTCAGATATTTTATTATGGTATAGTATTTAAATGTATGCCTTAGAAACACATAATATTGCCCCTTTAAAAGTTCTGACCAATATATGACTGTAATGGTAAGCAGGTTCTCATGTTTGAATGTTGTATCTCTTGAGCAATAATTTAAAAWATATGTTGGGAAATGTTTAATTTTAAGTGAATTGGTGGATTGATTTGATGGACAAGTTGTGATTTTTACTGTACCTGTGACTCTTATCTCAACGCTGGAGGTCTCCTGACCAACAATATTCTTGACAATGATGGTGTAAATTCCTGAGTCATGGCGCTCTGAGGAGGGTATTATCAACTGTGATGATGAATCTGTGTTGCTCACTGTCACATGTTTGGACACTGGTAAGCCATCTTTTAGCCAATGTATTGTTGGCATTGGAGATGCCTGTCAACATTTTGAGACATGAATGTATAGAGACGTTATATTGCAGTGCTTCCCAGCTTGGTCCTCTAGGCACACAGCCCTGCATGTTTTAGATGTTTCACTGCTTTAATGCACCTGACCCAAACATATGACTACAGTTCAACAAAGGCTTGTTAATCAGTTGTCAATTTAAATCAGCTGTGTTGAAGCAGAGAAACATCTAAAACATGCAGAACAGTGTGCCTTGAGGACCAAGGTTGAAAAACAGATATGCTGCATATTTTTTTTCAAGCTACTACTTTGCTACTAGGTTTAGTATGGTATGGGATTTAAGTTTCTGAGTTGCTGATCAGTTTATTTTTCTGAACCTCTACAATGTAAATTAAAAACAACACAAAMTAAGCGTACTTGCTTGTGCCACTGCTTGTAAACATAACACTTGCATAATACACTGCCTGGTCAAAAAAATGTTGCCACCTGGATTTAACTAGGGTCTGGGGTTGCTGCAGTTGGTCAGGTCTAGGTTCAGCAACAGTATGAGCTCAAAGGTCAGCTGACTACCTGTATATACTGAATGACCAGATTATCCCATCAATGGATTTTTTCTTCCCTGATGGCATGGGCATATTCCAAGATGACAATGCTATGATTCATCCGGCTCAAATTGTGAAAGAGTGGTTCAAGGAGCATGAGACATCATTTTCACACATGGATTGGCTCCACAGAGTCCAGTGAGAATCTTTGGGATGTGCTGGAGAAGGCTTTGTGTAGTGTTCAGACTCTACCATCATCAATGCAAGATCTTGGTGAAAGATTAATGCAACACTGGATGGAAATAAACCTTGTGACATTGCAGAAGCTTATAGAAACAGTGAATGTGTGCCATAATCAAAGCTAAAGTTGGTCAAACAAAATATTAGTGTGTGACCTTTTACTTGGTGGCAACTTATTTTTTTTTTGGCCAGGCAGTATACATACAGTATATGTAGAAAATTAGAACTGAAAAAAGTAGGAATGTAATGATTCATTCAAGCCCCTATTTGATTATCAATTTTAAATTCACAGTTATGATTATGTTTCTTTTTTACATTTGTTCACCAAAATGAATTATAGCCAATTATAACCAAATATGTTTTTTATTTTGACATCAGCATTTTTGTCCTTGTATCAAACCAACTCTGTTGACAAACCTTAAAGTTGAAGTTGATTCGTGCAGAGTTCCCTGCTCTTATTACCATAAAGTTTGTCATTTTCTTGTCAGTGAATTGGGGTCTCACTGAAAAAAAGGCACATCTTTAGAAAGACAGTTAGAGAAATTATAGAAAGTCTGGACTTTAATTGACTCACCAGGAGGAGGCATTGCAATGATGTAGTTGTCTAACTCTTGAGGCTCACCATCTCCACCCTCATTGGTAGCTATAACTCTTACCCAATACATCGCCATAGACTTCAGTYCCACAATATTGAATGAGGTCATGACGATGGGGCTGGAGGTACAGCGATCCCATTCTGGGTTTTCTGCTGGTCTGAGTTCCACAAAGTATCCCTTGGCCTCATCTTGGACACCTTCTTCTTCGGGGGGTTTTGTCCAGCTCAGGGATAAGGTAGTGTATGTAGACGCTGTYACCTTCAGGTCAGTAACTTTACCAGGAGGTTCTTAGAGTTGAAACAGTGTGGGAAATACACAATATGTTGAAATTAAAGCAATAATCAGATGCAAAGATAATTTATCTTTTGTTCAAATGTTACTCACTCTTTGGATCTCTTGCAATCACAAATTCAGAGGGTACACTTGGCTCCCCAACACCAGATGTGTTTATGGCTGATACTCTGAACTCATACTCAATACCTTCAACGACATCCTTTACACCATACTGTTTTCCTGTTGGCATAATAAACATAAATACAAACTTGTTTCTTATATCACTATGACTTAGATGTGTTAGAWGGTAAATAAACATGATCTAACCTTTGATGGGCTCATCGGGTGGGTTGACAATGTTCCACAGATTACTTCCATTCTTGCGTTTCTCCACATTGTATCCCAAAAGGTTTGTTCCTCCTGTGTTCGTCGGTGCAGTCCAAGCAAGGTTGATACAGTCTTTGAAAGCGCTAACAATTTTTGGTGYAGATGGAGGTCCAGGGTAAGCTTAAGAAATGATCAAATGAATAATGCAGTCACAAATTAAAACATTTCTCCGGRCCTGCTGTGTTTTGCACTTGTGAGATGACTCACCCTTTGTTCCTGCCTGGATGTCGTCCGTCTCCATCATTTCACTGATGCCATGATCTGTTTCTGCTCTGATGTGGTAGCAGTATTTTCTGCCATGATCCACATCCGTGTCTCTGTATTTAGGCTCTGAGCCAATCTTGCCCAGTTTTGTCCAGCTGTTGCGACCAATTTGCTGGCGCTCGAGGATGTAGTTTGTTACGGGGCATCCACCGCTGTCTTTGGAAGGTCTCCATTTGAACTCAATGCAAGAAGAAGAACTTTCAATTATGTCCACTGGACCTAGAGGTGGTGTCGGTTTATCTGTTGTACAGACAGAAAAGTTATTTGTAATGATCCAGTTTCTCTAACCTTTTAATGGAGTAGTAGATTTTGTTTTTAAAATGYAATTGCAAAACATTACCTAATACGATAAGCTGTGTGACAGCCTCAATTGTTCCACATTCATTCTTAATTTTAATCTTGATTTCTCCACTGGTTCTGCGTTGGCATTTGGTTAGCAGCAGTCKGCTATGTGAGGACGACTTGTCAATCTTGATATTGGTCTCATCCATTAGTTCTTCACCATCATTATACCACTGGATTTTCATGGGTTCACGACCAACAAATGACAGCTTGAAGGCTGCGTCTTTTCCAGTTTTGATCTTAACGGGTTTCATAAACTCAGCAAGGTCATCTGGGTTGATCCTTGGAGGATCTAGTTGAAAAGGTACCAAAGCAGAAACAAATTATATAAATGGCTGACACATTTTCATCTTGGCTGCCCTCCTACAATAGTTTTGTGGATTACTTCAATCATAATCATGACATTACCTTCAACATTTAGCACTGCTTCAGTTTTACGCCCATCAGCTTCACATTTATACTTTCCAGAATCCTCCTCTTTGCAATCTTTGATGATTAGTTTGCGATAAGTTCCATCTTTAACAATACTAATATTGTCTGCATCTGTTATCTGAAATGAACATGCAGATGTAAACAATAAAATTTATCAAGGGAGATTATTTTGTAACTGTTATTTACTTTACCTCTTTCCCATCTTTGTACCAGACAGCATCACAGTTTTCACTGCTGAGCTTGCAGAGCAGTTCTGCATCAGTGCCAATAATAGCAGTTACATCTGACAGACCACTGGTGAAGTAAACCACTGGGTCTAAAAAAAAGAAAAAATGCAACCATGCTGCTTATTGGAAGTGTACTGTACAAGACCATTCAGTATGCACAACACTAATCACAATTTTAATAAAAAAAACTATKAAGAGGGGGATCTGTGGGGTTTTTGCATCTCACCAACAACAGTTTCTGGAACAAGTGGGCCTTTTCTCTCTCTCTGTCTTTTTTCTTGAACAGGTTCCTCTTCCTCAGCAAGAGCTACTTCCTTGTTTACTGGTACAGGTTCTTCTGGTTTTGATTCTTTCTCTTCTTTTTGTTTTACAAACTGAGATTCTGATGTAACTTTTTCTGAATCTGCTGCCACTTCTACTTTTGGTCCTGCCTCTGCTGGAGCCAATTCCTTCGGTCGAACGTCAGATTGAACTTGTGGTTCTGGCTCAGGTTCACATTCCAGTGTTTCATCTCTTACTTCAGTGGCTGCTGCCTCCTCTTCCTCCTCCTCCTCATCCTCCTCTTTCTCCTCCTCAGCTCTTTCCTTCACCTTTGCAATCATCTCATCTCTCTCTTTTTGTAACTTTTCCTGTTGCTCCCGGGCAATCCTGAGAAGATCATCTCCACCACCACCTGCACGAGTTGTCTTACGAGCTTTCTTCTTTCCAACTGTGCTTGGATCTTTGTCGGCTATTAAAGAAATACACAGTGGTTAAAAAATTGTGTTGTTTGACAAATTTTTAAAAATAAAAATAAAATGTCAGACGTCTTCACACATATATAAACCTTACCCTCCACTATAAGCCAGGCGTTACAGGATTTAATTCCAGCCACGGCTGCATAGATTCCTTTGTCCAGTAGCAGGCAGTCCTTCACCACCAAAGTGTGAATCAGCATGTCTTCTGATACAGTGATATCATATTTGTCTCCTTGCTCTAGTGGGTTTTTCTTCCCCATCCAGAATATGTTTTTCATTGGATGTGAGAGTACACACTGAAACACAGCATCCTCTCGTTCCTGTGCATTCACGTCTTGAATCTTAACCAAGAAGTCTACTACTGGAACTAAACAAAAAAAAAAAACATTAAAATACTGTTTGAACTTGTGATTTAGCATCAAATCACACAGCACAAGTCTCACTACATATTGACACGAATATTTTGTGTGAAAGCAGTTTGCTTTTTGCAAGAACCTACTTTTTAATTCAGTTGAAAATATTTTAATTCCATCAACTTCCAGCTGGTACAATCCTGCGTCTTCAGGATTAACACCATTTATGCTGAAAACAAATCTCTTTCCCACTCGCTTAAGGCCATGTTTTACTTCTGTGTCCACATCGAAAGGAATCATTACTCCATCCTGTTCAAACACAAGTTGTCATTAAATTTGTCAATATGAAGCATATATTTATGTGTTACCAAGGTTTCTTTATGTGACGTTTCTTTAAATTATATTGGAAAAAATATAATGTCAAAAAGTAAGCATCCCACCTTAAACAAGAATATTTTGCTGTTGATGTCTTTGAGTGACATTTCAAGTTCAAACTCTGCAGCGCCACTTGGTTTCAGTTCGATGTGCTTCAGGTTACAGAGTTTTTCAACAACCTACAGTGGTGTTATTAGTGAAACAAGATAAATGCTGCATTTATTAACTGGGTGTCAGATAAAATACTTTGTTGATCCCAGGATGTGAAGCAGCTTTACACAAACCAGTAACATGAAAACAAACCTTCTCTTGTTCCTGCTCCCTTTCTTGCTTCTTTTCATTTAGCTTCTTTAACATCCAACGGAAATCAGTGATACCATATTGTGCACAAATGTTCTCATAATCTTTCTTTTCTGCACTCAATAGCAGATCCCAGAACTTGTCATCGATTTCTGGCTTTACTTCTTCTTTAGGCTCTGAGTACACCCTTATTAAAAAAATGGTAAAACACAATCAAATTTTTATATAAAAAATATTTTTTGTAAACTTTATCCCCACTCACGTGCTTCTCAAAGTTTTTTTAAAGTCTTCGGGTAACTCTCGTATAGCTATAACACAAACCAACACCATGGGTTATTTTCATTATTTTTAAGGGACTAACAGTTTTTTAGGCAAGGAATAAATACAAGCTGTGTACCTGTTCTTGATTGTTGCATTGCTTTGTTCTTTTTATAGCCAACTAAATAGAGCAAAAGTGAAATAAATTAGATATGTTTTTCCAAATACACTCATTTGACCTTTATAAAAAAAGACAGCATTAATCTAACCTTCAATGACATTGAGTGTAACAGTTACAAGTGCTTTTCCATACTCATTTCTTGCATAACACTTGTAGGTATCAGCTTGATCCACACACACATCAGGCATCTATCAAGAAAGAGAAATTTCTGTTTTTTTTTCCAAAACTTAATTTACACAAGTCATACAATGCTTTATTAGGACATATATTTGTTATACCTGCAGTTGATGTTCACCAGAAATYTTATCAAACACAGCTTTGTATCTTTCTTCATCAATTTCTCCATTATTCCTCACCCAGGTGACAGCTGGGGTTGGGTTACCAGTAACWATAGCTCTGAAGATTGCCAGTTTTCCTTAAAAAATAACAGAAAAAATAAAAGGCAGTGTCAGTACATAAGGGGAACTCACTGAAAAGAAAAAGCGCATGATCAGAAAGGTATTACCTTCTTGAATAGTAACTGCGATCGGTTTCCGGGTGAAATCAGGAGTGGTCATTCCCTGGGGTAGTTCTTCTACGTATTGAGTGATCATAACTCCAGGCACGCTTGATTTCTTTTTAATTTTTACTGTCATCACACAAACAATATGGTTGCATTGTACAAATCTCACTCGTTTGATAACTTGTCTTTAACAGATGTGCTTTTGTGACTTACCCTGCCCTGAAGCAGTTTGATGCTCCTCTTTAGCTTTGCAAATCTTAAACATTTTGACACCAGTTTTTCTGTATATACAAACAATAAATAAATAAAATGTTTATTTTGTTTACAGAAATAAAAAGAACATGCCGTTCCGTTTGAGTTTTGTGAAGTTTGCGCATTTCCTTGACCATATGTTCTGTCTTACAAGTAATTTATGTTCTCCAGGTGGTTGGAATTTGCCCCGGGTATCACTTATCATTTAGGAAACTTAAGTTTTAAGATGGGATACATTTTTAGCCAAAGGGATGTAGGTGGGAGCTCTTACCTTTTTTTGATACACTATTACATATATTAAAATAAAAAATGATGTTTTGAGTTTGGTTATGAGAAACTGATAAGTAACATAATTATTGTTTTACTAATTTGTGAGTTTATCATTTAATCTGTATTGCAGTGTTTGTATAATTTGTAAGTAGTTACCAAGTGTCATAACTCTGACTGTAAACTTGTTTATATCCATCTACAGGTGGTCCCACTTTAATGGCCATTAGTTATATAAATGAAATACACAATTGCTGTATATTTAAAAAAAAAATCAGATTTTTTTCTATAGTTGTAAAGATAATCCATCTAACTTCAATAGGTCTGAAAGTGTCAGCATATCAACTGACATGTCATATCATTAAAGCATCATATTCATGCCATAATTACAAAAAWCTTCAAAGATACTTTATGCAATTATTAGTTTTAGGATGTATTTGAAAATGTCAAGATTTAATTAGATTAAYATGAAATGCACATACATGTCCAAATATGTTATGAACAACATCCTGTATGACACATTTTCTTAGGTAAACTCTGCTCAGTTCTCATTAGCTTTTACTTTTGTTTTATTTTTTCTGATCACATTAGTCTAATGGCACAATCCTTGTGGTCCTTAATTATACATATTAGCTACTTAAACTATTACAAATATAAATAAAAAGGATCAAGCAGAGTTCTCACAGTTAATGAAGAGCCTGCATATTTTACAGTTTTGTACACACACTGAACTGCTGCGAAGCTAAATTTGTCGGAGAGAGAAAATAGCTTTGCCCAGGGTGTTATGAGTGAACTGATTTATGAATGCCAGTTTTGTCACTTAAATTTCACAGTTCTCTTTAATACAAGCACTTGCACGTTTTTCTTATTTTTGTGGGTGATTAAATGCTTCACAATAGTTAAATCTTTTAAAATTGTGATCTTTTGAATTAGTGTTCATCTGTGAAGTGTGTACAATTTGCCAAGTTACAGCAATTTTCTTCACTAGCAGGGTATTACTATTACACCATTATGAATTTCATGTTTTTAGCATTTTACAGTTAGACTAAAATTTGAATCCTCTAAAATGCTGATTCCTTTTTTTAATTCTTCATGTTTTAACATGAAAAATAATTTAATTTTGTTATGCGCTAAGGTTTTTTAGGTAATATAAAGTTATTTACATGAACATTGAAAGGATGTCAAACAGCAAAGCGAAATTATTGGACATAAGATATCCAACCACATCCTAAGCCCTTCAATTTTTTTTTCCTTTTTTAATGTACTTACTATTTTTTCCCAGTAAGCTTCTGTTCTTTGCTGTCTGTCAGCCAGGTTCCAGATGATTCTTCAGCATGGGTTCTTCATTTTAAGAGGCCAGAAAAGTTTTCATGACACTCCTACCTCCACCCCACTGCTTTTTGTCCACAGTTATGGATATACATTTACCGACATGATCTGTGGTCATAAAGTGTGATGGGGGTCATAAAAAGAAAGTTTCATGAGGTGCAAGTTGAGCTGTTGTGGCATGAACTGAAATACGCAATCTTTGGGATGTTTATTCCATAATATTACAAGTAACACATGTTGAATGTCTTCTCATTTTAATTTAAAAACATACTTTCCAAATCTTCTTGTGATAAGAAATTCTAAGTGTAGCTCAAACCAAGCACAACTTTTAGACGTCAATCCCTCTTTTAGGTTAAACCTGAGAAATGACACCCCGTGCTTGTCAGTCACATTTTTGTTCAAGGTGTTCCTTTTTTTATTTCTTTGTAACATTACACATGGAATAATCTTGGAGCCTCAGATACATGCTCAGATTAGTAACATAAGAAGCATGAGCATAAATCACTAGCATTACATTTCACGAGCCTTGACAAGTGAATTTTGAGGCTTGCTGAGTCAAGACTTGCTTCAGACTTCTTATATACATTTGTTTAAGAAGCAATTAAAAATAAAACTTAGAGTTGTTTAATCAAGTGACAAAATGATCAGTTTGTAGAGTGGCTGAAAAAAATAACATCAAACAGCAGTTTAAGCATTTATTTACCTGTAACACACAAAAATGTACATTGATGTACCATGCTGAAAATATTTTGTGTCTTTTTGGTTTCTAATTAAAATCCCTTCTGATTTAAATTATTGTTAAATTGTGAAAATCACATATCTGGTTGTGAATTAAGAAGGGTAATTTGGAAAACACAGAAAGCCATCAGTGATTTAAATCAATCACATTTTTAAAAATTCAAAATACCTTCCATGCAAAGAACAGAATTTGGAAAACCAGTTATGTTAAATATGACCTCAGCACTAATCAGCTCCACAACCAAACAAGACTAAAGACTAAATACAGGAGCACCAAAAACAAAACTGATTTAGCAAAAACATACAAAATAATATTGTAACTAGATATTTATTGTGCATTTAAAATAATCTTCCATCTAAAGCACAACTCAGACACAAAAGCAGATGTTTGCACCATTCCAACAATAAAACAAATTCCGTTGCGTGAATTGGCACAATAAAATCAAAAATAAGGTTGAGCAAAGCGAGTAGCTTTTAATGTGAATAATGYAAGCCCAAGGTTTTTTGTAGCTCAGACTGCCCAGATGGCTGGGACTGTAAAACAAACATTTAATAATAGAAGTTTGAACCAGTCTTATTAATATTGCAGTCTGCAGATGTTGGGATTTGCTCAGCTTTGCTCAGCTCTTAAAAACATGGTTTGTGAATTCCCAACGTCCTGGTTCGTGCCATCTTATATGTACTCTGCAATGACAGACAACAGCAAAAAAAAGTTAAAAAAATCAAATCAGCTCGTTGATGTGCATGTATGCAAAATACGATATAAAGCTCAGGTGCATTATAGGAAAGACTTACCTCTGACTGTGAGTTTAGTCGAACTCTCTGCCCTCCCCAAGTGGTTTTCTGCAACAACCTTGTATTCCCCGGTATCTTTAGTTCCGACCGTCAAAATGAGCAGAGAACAGACTCCGCAGGTGTTGGAGATTAGGTAGTTAGTGTTGGTATTTAGGCTGATGTTGTTGCGGAGCCATGTTACGTGAGGGGTTGGGTCTCCTTTTACGGCACAACTCATGTAGCATTCATATCCTTGGGGAGCGGTGTGCGTTTTCAGAGGGACAAAGAATTTGGGAGGACTCTGTAGATCGCAGACCTTTGTCTTGGGCATTCTCAGAGTGAATTTTTCTGTAAGAACAATATGCATTGGTACATTGTCACACTGGTGTAAAGAAACAAATTCTGAACGAGCTAATATTAATATTGATATTTGTATATTTACACACACACACACACACACACACACACACACACACACACACACACACACACACACACACACACAAAATGATGTATCCTTGTTACTGTGCAAATGTACTGTATGTTTGCTGAGCATGGACCATGTATATCATGCTGTTGGTGCTGAGGCTGCTGATTGTATCAGTTTGTGTGATCAGCATGTCAGCACATTTACATAATCTATGCTGCTCATCACAAACATGTTTGTGTAGTAACATGGATATTTTCTGGTTGATGAAACAGCAACTAACTAAATAAATGCACCATGAAATGTAAAGAGTTTTATTATCAGCTAATGTAGCCTTCTGTTTACAGAAGTATGACATTATTTTGAAAACTAATGGGTCCTGGTTGGATTAGTTGTTAGCCTGGAGGAAGATTTATGCCCTTTTCTTTATACTCCATGTTCTCTAACTGATGCTAGTGTAGAATTTAAGTCATCCAGGACACGATGCAGCACAGTGGTCAGTGGTTAGCACCGATGCCTCACAGCAACAAGGTCCTGGGTTCGATCCCCGGTTCAGGACCTGGGGTTTTTCTGTGCGGAGTTTGCATGCGTGCTTGTGTGGGTTTTCTCTGGGAACTCCAGTTTCCCCCACCCCCAAAAACATGTACAGTAGGGATGTACCAAAAAATCATTTTACATCAGAATCGTGATTCTCATTTACAAAGATTCAGAATTGATTTAAAATGTCCAAAAATCTATTTTTATAAATAAAAAGAAAAATGAAAAAAAAATCCAATGGCTGTCAGCCTCCATTTTGTAACTACAGTAAATGGGATGTCCTGATGTCATCACACAGCTGCTTCTGGAACATATGAAAGTGCAGAAAGCATCAAAACAAAGAGAAAACTACAAAACTGGAGGAAAGAGAGATTCAACTGGCCCTTTCTTCATTGAAAGCAAAGATTTGGGCTCAATTTGGTTTTTATTGAAGGAGTCTGAGTTTGGCATAAGCGAGGTTTGCAAAATGAAGATGATGCACTTTGGGAACACGACAAATGGGCTCACATTATCAGTTTTGAATGAAAAATCGATTTTGGATTGAATCTTGGACCCAAAAATTAGTATTGAAAAAAATCATGAGAGAGTAAAAGATTCCCACCCCTAATATACAATACTGTAGGTTGCCTTCAGGCCCAGGCCTCCCTTGAAAAAAAGATCTGGGATCTCAACGGGACTTACCTGGTTAAATAACTATTATGTACCATAAAACTATTCAATTCCTAGTAAAAGTCTAAAGGTACAACCAGTTCTGAATACCTTTTTTGGCAGGAATCAGCCACTTTTGTGATTCCGAAGGCTTGGAGGAGCCCATGTCRTTCTTTGCATAAACTCTGAACTGGTACTCTCGCCCTGGCATGATGTTGCTGGCCGTGAATCTGTTGTTGAAGATTCGATCTCCTATAGTGTGCCAGGATCTTTTGACTGAATCACGCTTTGTCACCATGTAGTGTAACCTGTCATCTCGTTTCTCATCAGGAGACTGGGTCCATGAAATRGTCACGGTGCCAGGCACATTTTCATCAAGCTCCACGGGACCTGGTGGCTTTGGCTCRTCTAGAGGTAAACACACATTCTTTTTTTACACGAGGAGTCAGGCTAATGCAGTAAGAAATCACAGAGCTGCTGCATGCAAGTCACCTGTGACTCGAATTTCAACGCTGACCATTTCTTGGCCCACAATATTCTTGACAATGATGGTGTAAATTCCAGTGTCTGAACGCTCGGTCGAAGGAATCAGAAGCTGAGATGTACCCTCGGCATTGCTGATGGTCACTTTTTTAGACACAGGCACCCCATCTTTCAGCCAGATTACATCTGGCCAAGGTGAAGCCTACAAAAAAAGGAAAATGATTTGTTTTACTTTGCATGTATACAAAATGAAAGCAAAGTCAGGGATTTTACTTATCTAGATTTTTTTTTCTTAATTACCTCAAAGTTAATGTTGAATCGTGCTGAATTTCCCGCTCCCACAATCATAAAACTCTTGATTTTAGCATCCGTGAATCGTGGCCTTACTATTAAACAGCAAGATAAAAGTTTTATTGTTTTTGACAACAACAAAAACGTGTATTATCTTTGTTGCTATACACACACGCACACACACACGTTTGTTCTTCCATCCCCATGGGAACTTTGCAATGACTTCCATTAATTTACCAGTCATTTTTATATCCTAACCCTACATAACTATATAGCTTTTACACAGACACTTACCTAACCCTAACTACAAGGTGGAAATATTTAAAGTACCCTAAACGAAACAAATCCTCATTACACCGAAGCACCCAGCTTCTTTAAATTCCAGACCTCAAAAATAACCATAAACCCTATTTAAAACAACAAAATAACTATTAAAAATAGAGCACCAACTTTAAAACCAATCCCCAGCAAACCACAAAACAATCCAACAATCTGGGCTCTGACTGACTGAAATATGCCAACCATATACCACTACATCTTACACACCACATACAAATCAATAGGCTGTCTCCAATGACCTCTTGGAACAGCCGACTCCRCCATGCACTTCCCATAAAGATAGGACCCAGTGGCCCAGGACTAGACCTGATGTCGCTCAAGCGTGTACTTCTTAAGGGATTTACCAACTCTGAGGAGCAATCAGTAGGCGGGTGGGACCCTCTGAGTGAATACTTTCCTAACCTGAACCCTTACTCTAAAGCTAACCTCAGTATACCTGACCGAAAACCTAACTTAACTAATTTCACACGTTGGTTCTAAACAAAACCTTTGACCCACCCAATGGTATTTCCCCCACTGGGGACCGGGCCTTTGTCCCCRTTAGGAACAGTTGGTCTTCACCAGGCTGTGTGTACTGGGAAAATGGTCAARATCATCCCCACCATCAAAGAAGCCACCACTTGGACCCCATTAAAAGGCTTAAACATCTCAAATGAAGTGAAGMGCTTGTCACCTTTTTTAGTTGAATGTAATTCTGCAGAGGACTAAAACCCTTTTACTATTTAATTATTTTTAAGTTAATTATTAACATACCAAAAGGATAATAAGCCTTTGTGTACACTCTGGTTTCATCAAACATACATCTACATGTCATGGGCAGTTGTTGCCACTGGGGGGCAGAACTATCTGATAGATTGTGACTTATTAACTGGGTATAAGATGTGATGATCTTCCAGCCCCACAGTCATATTGGACAACATCTGTCATTTGATTAGCTGAAACAAAATCTTCAAAATATTATGCTCAAAAGCTTCTGTCTCCATTTTCACTTATAAAATTTTTACTCTCTTTGTGATGAAATAACTTTTTTCTTTTTAAAATCATGTTTTTAACTTATCAGCAATTCAGACATTTTWTCCTGCATTAGGGATTTTGAGAACTGTTCAAATCTTCCTGGGTTTCTTAAATACCTGCTATAATTAACAAGTGGTGAATTGATAAATTAATRCAAAAATGTAAACAACTCCTAAGTATGTTACATATCGCTTTGACAATTAAACTAAACTTAAATTAGATTATTTTTGTTTATAAATTTGCACACAGTGAATGTGGTCAAGGGTATGTTTTTGTCCTTTTACTCACAATATTATATTTTACAGCTTGAACTCAGTGTAAATTTGCTTACCAGGAGGGGGCATGGCGAGAATGTAATTGTCTAGCTCCTGAGGCGGTCCCTCTCCTCCATCATTAGTGGCAATGACTCTCACCCAGTACATGGCCATTGACTTCATGCCCTTTACTGTATATGTGGTCATAGATATTGCATTAGAATTGCATCGATCCCAGTCTGTGTTTTCTGCAGGTCTGATCTCCACAAAGTATCCCTTTGCTTCGTCCTCCACCTCCTTAACGTCCTTGGGTTTGTTCCAAGACAGGGACAGGGTTGTGTAGGAGGAGTCTGTCACTTTCAAGTCAAGGACTTTACCAGGAGGCTCTGTAAGACATAATTCAATGTCAGCTTTTATTCWGTCACACTAATACCTCTGACAGTTAAAAAAATGACAGCTGTGTCATAATGTTTGTTAAAAAATGACCTACTTTTAGGGTCTCTGGCAAACACAAACTCAGATGGTGTACTAAATTCACCGGATCCGGAGTTGTTGATTGCACACACACGGAACTCATACTCCATGCCTTCAACCACATCTTTAACTGCAGATCCTTTACCTAGATAACAGCAATGCAATTCCTTGATTAGTTTCTTATTGTGATAGCTTCTTTACCACAAATAAACTGAAAAGGCAGATACATTATGAATTACTTTTGATCATATCATTTGGTGGGTTGACTAAGCCCCAGAGGTTGCTGCCTTTCTTGCGTTTCTCAAGGTTGTATCCCAGAATACTGGTTCCTCCGGTATCAGCAGGTGGAGACCATGTAAGGGTGATGCAGTCCTTGAATGCACTGACAACCTTTGGTGCCGATGGAGGTCCAGGGTATGCTGTATACACAATAAATAAAATTGGTAACCCTGAATGAAGAGGCATTTAAATATATTTTTAAAATATTTTCTACTTCAAGCTGTTGTTTTATTGATGTCCAGAACAACAGGCCCTAGCCAATTTGGTGCACTAGGCTAAATTTGAGGTAGCACCATTTGTGCAGTTGTTTAAGTGTAGATGCATTCACATACTTACATTTTCTTATTTTTTAGAAAGAATATAATTMATTTATAACAGAATTCCAGAAGTCTGCCTAATATCTGTCAAAATTTGCTGACAACAGTAAAGAACACCTGTTCGTGTTAACAAGCAGCTATGAACTAAACGGTTTTAGAGGGGATCTTCTCTAAACTAACCTGCAGTGGTTCAGAACTTTAAAGGAGAGGAGTTTTTTTTCAACATGCCAGAGTAACGTGATCTATTTGAGCTGAGGTTACCTTTTGTTCCTGCTTGAATATCCTCTGTTTCCATCAACTCACTGATACCCATTTCAGTCTCCACTCTGATGCGATAGCAGTATCTTCTGCCATGATCCACGTCACTGTCTTTGTAACTGGCGTTTGGACCAATTGGTCCCACCTTCTTCCAGGTGTTCCGCCCAATTTGTTGTCGTTCAAGTATATAGTTTTGGATCTGGCAGCCACCACTGTCTTTCGGAGGTCTCCACTTGAATTCAATTGAAGAGGCGCCGGCTTCAACAATCTCAAGAGGTCCCAATGGAGGTGTAGGCTTATCTGTCATAATTATGGCACGGAGTACATTATTTATCTGATCAAAACATCTTCTACTTTAGTTTTACGATAGAAATGCACAAGTTTCCTCATTTTTCATTACCTACCCAGCACATTAAGCTGGCTGATGGCCTCAACAGTCCCAAACTCATTTTTGAGTTTGATTTTAATTTCACCGCTGTCTTTACGCTGCAGCTTCAACAGAAGCAGGCGACTATTTCCCTCGGAGGTCTCAATCTTGATATTGCCTTCTTCTGAAAGTTCTTCACCCCCACGGTACCACTGAACTTTTATAGGTTCCCGTCCAATGAAGGACAAGTTGAAAGTAGCCTTGTGTCCCTTTTTCACAGTTACAGGAGTTTTAAATGCTTCTAGGTCTTCAGCATTGAATCTGGGTGGATCTGGGTGGATACAGAAACACATTCAAAGCTTGTTTATGTTACAAATTGATGTTGGTTGTTGATAGAATAAGGACCACTTTATTTTACCCTCAACAATTATTTCGCCCTCTGTCTTTCGCCCATCTGCTTCAAATTTATATTTTCCAGCATTTTCCTCAGAAACTTTAAGAATTTTCAGCCTGTGGAAGCATCCCTCTTTTGAAATGGTTAGATTATCAGATGATTTAATCTGTGAGAAGAAGCAAAGCAAAGTAAACAAACAAAAACAAAACTATAATTTTGCTTTACTGCTTCAGTAAAGTTTAAACAGATGGATTTGATGATGATATTCTGCACTTACTTCGGCTCCATCTTTGTACCAGATTCCGGCACATTCTTCACTGCTAACTTTACACTCCAGCTCTGCTGTTTCTCCAATAATGGCCTTGCAATCAGAAAGGCCAGCTTGAAAGTGAACTCCAGGCTCTGAGAGGTTAGGAAACAAGTTAGTAAAGACATCTACCCCTCCCCCACCCCCGACTCCTGTCCACCTTGCTATCTAAATAGGAGTTTGTAAATGGGAACTAATAACCACAATAAAGAAACACATGGATATGTGTTTTACGTGTTTTGAATTACTGTGTTTGCACATTTACCTAATTTTTTTTAAATATCAGGTGTTTGCATATTTTTATTAATTTGTGTAAATGTGTTAAATTTTATAGAAATCAAAAGTGAGGTCATCAAGAAGATATCTCCAATATGTATTGTTCAAGTTATCAAACAGATGAAAGGAAACATTTGACTTTATGTGCACTTCATATAGACATCTTCTTTATTAAGATGCAGCTTAAGGTCCTGTTTTTAGAAAGTCTTCTTCAACTTAACAATTCTGATCTCCTGATAATGCAGAAAATAAGGTCTCCAGTGGAATTCATTTACCTTCATTCACTTAGTCTTGACAGAAAGACAGGCTATTAAGAAATGAAATTTCCCTCTGCGCTGGCAGTTCCTTGGCCATCTGAAGAATTTATTTATTTTTTTGTCTGACATGAATTCAGTCTTCAGTGAATTTAAAAAAAGAAAGGGAAAATGGTTTAAAGTATAGAGACTGCTCAAGGTCAGTTCAAGTTGTCCTCAGGAATCTTCCGTGTGTTAGATTTCATCTAACACTGAAACACAAGTGTTCCTGTTGTAGCATCATTTCATCCACTGCTCTGCATACAAATAATTGAACTCAACGCACCGACTCATCCTGAAGTAATGCTTAAAACAGCAAGCGGCAATGTTAATACAGATGCACACAAAGCACAGATGGATCTGCACATTACGCACACAATACACTAGGTTGACACAAACAACAATGTTTAGCTGAAAACCAACTTTTGGGTAAATAAAAACATTTTAAATAACAAAGGTGACTCCGATATTAGCCAACATTATTAAAATTAAATAATTTGTAGTAGTATACTGTATCAGATGTAATTAGTCACACTTAGGGTTAAATCTGAACACATCTGCAGTAAGACAAAGTGTTACGTCTACTTTTTTAACCCTCAAATCACTGGAAAAAACACCGACCCATCAAAYGAACTTATGTTGGGATGATTCCTCCCGTGTAGCAGTTGAACTATTGTCCTGAAGTCTTACCACCGTCTCCTCGATCAACAGGCCTGGCCATGCATGGCCTGAATGTTTGCCAGCTGCTGCTGGCTCACCTCCATCAGCACCCTCACCACTTTCAGGAGATTCATCACAGCATGCTGCTGGCCCAGAGCCGCATTCAACCCTGGCTTTACTGCTGTTACTGTTTTCTCAGCTTTTTTTTTTCAGTTTTAGGGGAAATCACTATCCAATGCTTCCAAATTGCTGTTACAGTAAGGATGACAATATAAAATCAGAATCATGGCATTTATTTCAGAAGACCATTGTTGAGGGAAATATGGTGTCTAGCTTACATTTAATCTTTATCTCCTGTTTGAATACGCTGTGCTGTGGCACAGTTACACACTTCAAGGTGTCTTAGGTTTCCAGCTACACCATAAAACAAAAGTCATTGTTGTTTTTTTCACTTTCTCCATTCACTGTCAATGTTACTATTCCACACCGGAAATCAACAATTTCATTGTCATTTAAGACACGCAGATCTATGAACATAAAAACAATAACAAAAAAATAAATAAATTATGCACACAACACATAAACAAACAAATCTAATTTTATGTTTTATATCAGAGAAAAGAAAATTGAATTTTAAATAACATATAATGTGGCCTGTAGTGTCCCAAGGTTTGGCATAAAAATAATAAATRTAGCATGATTTTCCTATTATATTTAACCAGACGTTGAAAACTGATGGGAACAGAGAAAAACAGTAGTATGAAAAGCATAAGTTAAAGTGTGAAAAAATGACTGGCAAAAATATTCCAATTATTGTCAAAGATTTTTTTTAATTTTATTCAACTCTGTTAAACACTTTTATGTCTGTCTGAGGTTCTATTGTGTTATATAGATATTGTTTTTAAATTGCATCATATGATAATTAAAATTAATTTATTAAAATGTTCAACAGGATCTGCACATATTGTGAATAAACTTTGCAACTGGCAAGTTGATGATAAAGTGATGCAATTAATGTGCTGTTTAACTAAATACCTTCAAACAAAACAAACAAAACTCTTAGTTGTAACTTACATCAAAACCTTGTAACTTCATTGTTACTGTAGTTTGATGGAAATGTGTCAACTTTTTTACAAGTTCAATAATCTGACCATACCACAGACAAACTTCAAACTTTAWCCAAATAAAGTTTTCCTTTTGCAGTTTTTGGAAATAGCTTTTTAAGCCTAACAGCAACTATACAGTTATATCTAAAAGAACATGAAGTGAAATACGCGTTTAATTTAATGAAATATTGCCACTCATACAGCAACACATAAATAATTCATTACTCACCTATAACTGTGTCAGGAACCAATGGACCAGCTCTTATTTGTTTCTTGCGTTTCTCTCCTGTCCCTCCTCCTCCTTCTCCTTCATCTCCTCCATTGTCATCCATTCTTTCTCCTCTCATACCTCCTTTCCTTCCCTCCACATTCTCCTTCTCTCCCTCCCCCTCAGTGTCCTCATCAGAATAGTCAAATAAATCCTCCTCTTCTTCCTCTGAAAACTCCTCCAATTCTTCATCCTCATCACCTCCATCTGTAACTCCATTTGTGCCACCATTTAATCTGGTTGCAGCATTACCTACACCAGTAGTGCCACCTACAACTCCACCGGCACCAGTTCCACCGGCATGACCAGCACCAGCAGCTCCACTGGCACCAGCCACACCAATGGCAACTCCAGCTGCGCCATACACACCACCAACACCAATAGTGCTAGCAGCACCATTGGCACCACCAGTACCACGTGCACCAGCAGCTCCACTTGCATCAGCAACAGCACCCCCACCGGTACCAATAGTCCCACCTGAACCAGCAGCGCCACCTGCACCAAGAGCTACACTACCTCCAACACCAGCTGCACCAGTAACTGTAGCACCACCTGTGCCCGCTCCAGCAGTTCCAGCTCCTCTAGCTCCGTCAGCAGAAGTTCCCACCCCGCCAACAGCAGAAGTTCCCACCCCGTCACCAGCACCATCAGCATTAGCTACTTTTTTCCTAGTTTTTCTTACAGCTCCATCTTTTCCAGCTGCAGCCCTTTTTGCCTTTGCAGCAGCTCTTGCTGCCTCCTTTGCTGCCGCTTTGGCTTCAGCCTTTGCCTTTTTAGCTGCATCTTTCTCAGCTCGGGCCGCTGCTTCTGCAGCTTCCTTTTCTGCTTGGGCTTTTTTTGCAAGTTCCATTTTTTCCTCCATTTCTTTTTGATATCTTGCCTGCTGTTCTTTGGCTATTCTTAACAGCTCTTCGTCATTGCCTGCACCAGCAATGGTGGTTTTGCGTTCTCCCCTTTTGGCCTTTTTGGCGGGATTTTTGTCAGCTACGAAAGAAAAAAGAAAATATAATATTCATTCAAACTTTACTTTTTCTATTATTTGCGTATCGTCCCTATAATGTGACAATTCATAAACACAAAAAATAAAGAAATTAATGTTTCTTACCTTCAACAATAAGCCAGGCATTGCAAGATTTGATTCCTGCCACAGCAGCATAGATCCCAGCATCCAAAGGCATACAGTCTTTCACCATCAGCTTGTGGATGAGCTTATCTTCTGATACAGTTATCTCATGTTTCTCACTATTGGACAATAGAGATTTTTTGCCATACCATTTAATCTCATCTATTGGTGCAGTTAGGACACATTGAAAGAGGGCATCCTCTCTTTCTTCTGCTTTGACCTCTTTTATTTTGACAGCGAAGTCAACTTCAGTCACTGYAGCATTTAAAAAAATACAAAATAATAAATAATTACAGGTCTTTCATCAACCTCTTCCATTTACTTTCAGTGGTTCAGGGTCATTTGTAGTTTCAGTGCAATTCAGTGTGTGCAATTAGTACACTTAGTTTATTCATTGTAAGAAACAAAGTGTCAGATGTTTTAATTCATTATTTCATATAAGGGTAATATATTTAGAGTCAAAAATGTAAAACTAATGTAGGATTTTAATCTGGTATACTGTAAGYGTAACATTTTGAAACATTGTTTGATTATTTAAATGTAATTGTTCCTAAAGACATACCTTTAAAATCTGTGGAGAAMACATTGACTCCCTCAACATCCACTGAATAAAGCCCAGCATCTTTTTTACTTAAGTTTTTAATTGTGAAGATGTATTTTTTGCCGACTTGTTTTAAACTATGCCTCATTCCTTCACCCTCTTCTTTGGTGAATGGAACCATGACACCATCCTGTAGARCATTGGAACATGAACATTTTTTTCGCAGGTGAAATAAACTGCAACAATAAAGTATAACACAAACAGTAGTTTATGTCTCACCTTGTACAAGTAAATTTTGCTGCCAGAATCCAAAAGATCCATGTCCAACTCAATTGTTGCACAGTCATCATCTTTGACCTCGATGGGTTTTAATGTCCTAATATGCGTGATAAACTGTGAAAACAATTATGCAAAATAATAATAAAAAAGGTATTTATCTAAATTAAAGAAAGCAGTTTAAGAAATGATGATATACAAACAAACATTTTTTTGGAGATGGCTGTAACTCAATAAGAAAAAGTTTTGTCTGTAGGCCTTGTACCTGTGCAATCTCCTCTTCTCGCTCTTTTTTCATTTCAGTAAGTTTCTTCAGCATCCTGCGGAAGTCTGTGATACCATACTCAGCGCAGATCCTCTCATAATCTTTCTTGTCTGCACTGAGCAGGATTTCCCAGACTTTTTCATCTGATTCCATTGGCTTCTGCTCACGTGTTCCATCTGGATTACTGCAAAATGGAAAACTGCATGAAGCTCCACTGAAACAGATGTTTTATTTATTTTTATGATATTGCTAACACTATAGCAATCACTATGATGACATTTGGTTTTTTTTATTTACTGTTATTTATCCAGGCAAATCCCATTGAGATCACAGATCTCATTTTCAATGGAGGCCTGGGCCTGAAGGAAACCTATTATACATGTTTTTGGGGTGCAGGGAAAACCAGAGTACCCGGAGAAAACCCACGCAAGCACGAGGAAAACATGCAAATTCCATACAGAAAAAACCCAGGTCCGAACTAGGGGTTGAACCTAGGACCTTCTTGCTGTGAGGCGTCAGTGCTAACCACTGAGCCCCCGTGCTGCCCAATAATAAAATTAATGTAACGGTTTGTTTTTTTTCTAAGAAATTGGTAAAATCAAAGAATTACCGTTTTTTAAGATTTTTTCTCAGGTCTGTTGGATCTGAAAAGACATTAAAAAACTCTTTTGTAATTTTGAGTATTTATTACTCATAATTTGTCTCATGGGTAATTTGTAGCTTAAATGCAAACTAAAGAACAGCCACAATGTCAGCTTGYTGTTTCAACCTCACCTTCCACTTGTGATTTTTGAAGTTCTTTTGTCTTGGAGAATCCCACTGTCAACAAACAAAGCTTGTTTTGATATATAAATTTACAGTTATGTCATGAGATTAYGTCAATGGAAGCAGATTTATAGAATGATTTCCAGTAAATCTTACTCTCAATAACGTTCAGGACAACAGTGCAAACTGCTCTCCCATATTCATTTGYTGCGTAACACTTGTAGGTGTCTGCGTCTTCTGGAGCCACTTTAGGGAACTGATGGGATGAAAATGGAATTAAAGTTCTGTTACTGTTTTTATGACATCATCTTAATGTTGCTTCCTAAAATGTTTACTGTTGATTGTCATAGTTGTGTTTTTTTAAAGCTTACTTCAAGGGTGTGTTCACAACTTGCTTCATTATATTTTTGCATGCACACATCAGGGTGAAAAATCATTTCTCCGTTCGCTCTGCTCCACGTCACGGTGGGTGTGGGATCGCCCGCCACAATGGCTTTAAAGACTGCAAATTTACCTGCAACAGAAAATTCCTTATTAGTGGCAGATGGTTTATGCAGAAACTTTTAATATATATTAGTGCATCAAACATTTTTATGCTGTATTTACACGCACAAATAAGAGAACAGTATTTGTCACATCATAACTCCAGAACTGAATGAGCCAAGTAGATACATAAGTAAAACATGACAAAAAATATTTTCCCCTAAAAAGTCTGCTAGAGCCCATCAGTATGTATACAAAAAAAAACAAAACAAAAAAAACACTTGAACTCTGACTGCACCCTTGTCTGTTTGAGAGTCTTTAAAATTTATGCTTCATTCTTCTGATGAGATGCTGAAAATGTACAAGAGACTCGGGTGTACAATAAAAGCAGAAAGCCTAAAAGCAAGAAATATGAGTTATGCAGAAGTTACTCAAGAGATTGGCAAAATACTTCAAAATACTTCTAAATTCTTGTACCAAAGACTTAACTATCCAAGGTTCCTGGATCAAGGCTATGCCTGTATGCATCCTACTAAGGCAGGTACACAACAATGTACTTGCATCTTTACAATGATGCAAGTTACTCTGTATAAATTACATCATCCCTAAAACCACAGAGATTAGGACCCTTTTCTCTGACACCAACATCATGTCGGTGTCCTCATCACCTGGAGACCCCAGCACTTGTGAGGCTCCGACCACTCCCCGCTGGGGTGCAGTCAAGGGGCTACACTCGCACTGGGCACTCCCTGTAGACACAACGACAGCAGTGGCAGAAGCCATTGCCGTCACTGAGCCCCAGGGCACTAAACCCTCCGGTTGCTCAGGACCCAACACATAAGCATCAGGTCCTGGGGCCAAAGTAAAGGTTGTTCCAGTCACTATATTTCTGGCCCATCCAGCCTGGTTCCCCACCAGACAGGCCAGAGGAACGGCCATAGGACCACCTGCAGCATCCGTGCCCAATGTGCCGCAGGCTGGGTCCCCGGAGATTTTAGAACCCCCTTCTGCCGGGTACTGGGGGCCGGTCCCTTGTCCGCTCAATTTAAAATCCTTAACTTGCCATCCACCGGAGGTAGATGACTGACGAGTGTTGACGGTACCCGGGTTTTACATCAGAGCTTTCCTTCTCCTAGGTGGGTTTCCTGTATCGAGCCCCACCTGTCCGGCTGCTTTTGGTTCGCGGTACCCTATTCGCCTTTCAGCTTATTTCGGCACACCCCTAAACACCAGGAACAGGGATCCCCAATCCACCACCTGGAGGACGCGCCTCTACGCAGTGCAGCCTCAGCGCAAGTCAAAACAAAGCTTTTTATAAATGGGGATCCACCGGCTTACAGGGGTTCCTCATATCTTAAAAAATAAATAAATAAACAAATAATTAAAAAACAGCCGATCCAAGTTTTTCATTTTTTTATATGATGTTTAGTTCTATTCCAAAACCCCATTAACAACAGCTCATCTCTATAAAATACAGAAATGAAAAACAGACAATATCCAAATTGAAATGATCTATATTCACACTGTAATGTAAAATATATCTTTACCATGCTTTTATTGTGAAAAATACAGTTTAAATAACATCAGTCACCTGTTATTTAAATTCATTCGTTCGAAGTGTAGGTTCTTATTTATTTACAGTTCTGTGACAGCCTGCATCCATCAAACAGACGAGACACTTACCCTCCTGAATAGTTACAGCGATGGGTTTTCTGGTAAAATCTGGAGTYGTCTTTCCTTCTGGAAGTTCCTCCATAAACTGCGTTATCATAACACCAGGCACTTTCGATTTCTTCCTGATGCCTAATTGAATCGAAACATATTATTAATTACACCTGCATAGTGTTTGAGGGCCAGATAAAGGCAAAGCTTATGAGCAAATGTGAGTCCACATACGCAGGGATTTGTTTAGATAATGTGAATGTTTAAAACATGAACAATATTTAAAGAAGTGTTAAGCAAAGCTAAATTCAGATTAATTTAAAAAGAAAAAAATCTGTTATAACTAAGAAACACTGGCCCTTGTAATGTGATGTGTTTATCCATAAAAGAAGCATTATCTTAATGGGAAAATGCCACTCTATCAAATCAAAACTGTAACCCATAATCATCATAACTCTCAAAATTAGCTTTTTATGTCATTTTACATCTTTGTATTGGCTGAAGTGCACATTTTTCAACCAAATACTTCTTACAACTAGCTTGACTTTGAATTGAAACAAATATTCACATTGCTGGGAGTTTTTGACCCTGATAATAGTTTGCTGAACTTGCTCACGTAGAGCTGTGTTTTTAAAATTTTTTTTATTTTTTGACAAACAAAATAAAGCTGGATAATTTGCATTCCCACCTACTTTGCATCTTTTTTGCATTTGCTTTGCTGTGACCTTACTCCCTCACAAAACCTTTAAGTCAAAACACTCATAATGGGAAATGGTTGTGAGAAATGCAGGGTAAACTTTTATTTCATTTTATTTKATTTAGTTAAAATATTGGATCTGACATRCASTAGTAAGGATTGTTCATTGGGCTGTCTTGATCTGGCTTAACCAACTAAAGTATATATCATAATTCATTATAATTAAGAAATAGCTACTGTTTAATTTATGAATGTAAGAAAGTATACTGTAAGCATAGTTTTATGAGGTGTAGCATAGAGCCACATAGCTCACATAGTGAAATATTTTAAATAAGTAATTTTAGCTGGTTATTAAAGTTTTGAAACATAATTACCCCTCAACAATCTGCAAAGCTGCACCCCTGAACGCTGGTCACAGGGGTTTAGATTTTCCTAAAGTTTTTTAAGTTTAATAATTTGCTTTTAAATAATTAACTCCACCTACTCTGCCTTTGTTGTATTAAATGTATATTTTGTTGCAATAAAGCTGATGATTAGAGCACTCCAGCATTATGCAGTCTTTAGCAGAATGAATGTAAACTCGCAGCAAGAACTACTGTAGCAATTACTAAAGGTAGCTTAATAATAATAATAATAATAATAATAATAATAATAATAATAACAATAACAATAATAACAATAATAGGCTGGTTTCATTGTCTTTAAGTTGATTGTCCACATTTCAATGATAATAGTGGAACCATTRATAGCAACATGTTGGCATAAATGTWTTGATCTACAGCACCTTCAAAAGAGAGAGGAAAAATAATCCACACCAGCCAATTATATTATGAGTCAGTTATTTGCAAAAGCATCCTATAAGGTTATTCTAGGGCAGATTTAACACGATCCTCAATGTACATGTGCTAAAAATATGTAAATATATATTATTGATGTAAATTTAACAACTATGTTAGAGCAACATTTCCAGCAAGGACATTTAAGGAGATTTTAGTTCCCAGCAGTAAGATGAGTAAGCTTATTATCACTGGAGAGCAGAAGGTTTTTATTTAATCTTCAGGTCAAATGCCTGCAGATGAAAAGATTCGACTTCCTCCTGCTTGCTTGTGGGAATCAGCAGGACCTCAGCTGTTTAATACATAGCTAAAACATGAACAGTAATTATTCCTAAAACACTAATCGGTGTCCCAGCACAGATGGAGCGCTGCACTGGGGTGGTTTCCTAAAAGCCAGTTTCTTGGAAATTAGAGTGTCTTAACCTTGTCTTACAGAAACATATAATAAACTTTGAGTTTATCCTCCTGCCGAGCTGCCTGCTGTCTTTTCATTTCCTTCATGTCAAAGTGCATAAAACAGCAGTTTCACATGCTTTTGTTGAGAAGGTGTGTCTAGAGAAAAAAAGATCAAAGTCACAGCTGTATAGCAGTCTTTTTAATCTTTCTCTGTTTTGTCGGAGAACAGAAGGTGTTCAATTCTTTCATATTCAATACATTCTGTTAAGACGTTACACGTCCTGACAACTGTTGAGTTGTTAGTTCTATTCTCATGTAAAACACAGTTGTTTGTTATGCAGTATTCCTAAAATAATTACTTTAGACCCAACTCTTATTATAGTGAATAGTTCTGATCTTGAGATTGTCCAGATTGATAAATCTTTATCGGCACGTTATATAAATATATCTGCAGTAAATATAGTTACAATCAAACATTAAACGGTGTTTAGTGTTTGCTGTAAGATATTACTGCATTATTATTTCATTGTGTTAAGATCTGAGGTCACCAATTCCCACGTCAGTTTTTGCCAAGCACTGCTGCCAAAGTCTTTTCTAAAGACATCATGTAAATCCTGTTTTGTCAGCTGACATTTTCAGCCTAAATCTGCAGCTTTACTTCAACATTCTTTATGTATAGGTTGACATGGGTGCTTCTAGTGTTTAATACTGTACTGTTACAGCATCAGGAAGCCCTTTTTTATCACAAATTTATCACAAGTGCTGAGATGGCTACAGAAATGTACCCGTAATCTTACAGTACAGGCTTTATCTTGACATACTGGGTTAGTGTCATTAAACATTTAAGGTATTGATTGTCACGTTGCTTAGAACTGTAAAAATAATTCATGATGTATTTTATTTCATAGGTGCACTTAATACATAATCAAAATTGAACTAAACCAGTTGTTTTTGAAACTAACAGTTCATCTCAACATTTCAGGTCAGAGAATTTTATGTTTCCATTTCAGATCAAACCCCGGGTTCCTCCGTTATTTAGTCTATGTGTATAAATCTCAGCGCTTGGTCTTTGTAGATTTTATAGTTGTGTTTTATTTCTGATTTTATTTGTTGAGTTTGTTCCCTGCAGAGCTTTGTGTACTTGTGGTATTCCAGAGCACTTGTCAGGAATAGAATGAGTTTGGCGAGGCTCCACGCGTCTTTCAAGCTAGTTAACTTAAGATGCTAACGTTCTGAGTTAACCTGACAGACATGGTTTTCTAAGAGCACTTTTTGGATCTCATACATTGCAATTATGTGACAGCTGCATGCAAGAAAACATGAAAAGGTCAAACCTCAGGGAAAAAATAGAGGTAAATGTAAAACCTTGAATATGTACTTTCAGTATTCTTTATTCTTAAAAAAACTCATACATATTTTATTGTTGAACTTAGTTTGAGAAAAAAGATTAACTCAAACAAGTCAACTCAAACAAGTTGGATCTGTTTCAGCATTTTTTATTGTTTTTTGGAACATGTACATTTTTAAATGATCACACCAGCTGTTTCATTGGTGTAGTTTATTTATTGAGATTCATCAGTGGTGCCATCTTGTATGGGGCTAGTCTATTTTGACTTGTTTGGAGAAAAAAGTGGCATTTTCCCTTAAAATTGCCAGCTAAAGTAAAGGTTTGGCAGTCATAACCAGTTAAGCAACAGCATGTAGTGTTCATACAGTATGGAGTTTGATGAAAATGTCCCAACAAATTGCCTCCGTTGTGACACTGAAAGTTGTATCATCTGCCTTGGATGACACCTTTCAAGAAGCGATGAAGATCACATCATGCATCCAACTAAACCCAACAAGGCGTCATGCATTTATAAAGCTAGATCTCTTGTGTAATCTGGTTTMTTTTTCTGCACGCATACCTTTGTCGTTGGGGTGAACTCCCTCAGAACCGCCGGTTTAACACGTAACATGACATCAGGAGAGGGCACAGGACAGAGAAATATTAATCCTGACAAAAGCACCATGGTAGATTGGAACTTTGACAGGATTATGGACACATGATAAACACAAAAGACCCCTGAGCGGGGTGGACAAATGCAGACATTCGCAGACCAAATGCTTTAAAAGACAAAACATGACGACAACGTTAGCGAAAGACAAAATATAACGGCGTGTTAGCTCTGTGCTGTAGCTTGAAAAAAGACGTGATGGCAACTGTTGAGACTCAACTCAAAGCTTGCTTATGCATTTTCTCACAGCAGACACCTCAGGATGACTCTTGCACGGTGCTTGAGAGAAATTTCGGAAAGACTTAGGAAAAAAAAACATTTGCGGGGAAATTCTTTTTTTTTTTTAAATCCCTAGTTTTTCTTTTATCAAGCAAGAATGTATATGTTTGTGTTGCAGTAACCATCTGCTGCAAATGTGTTGTGTTGGATTGGGTTTCTTCAGGAAGAGGTTTCCCCAGCATTCAGTTATTCAGTTTACACAGAATAACTTATTTTGAGCTTGTCTTCTGCCATCAGATATTTCCTTCAACTGTTGTCCTTTTGATTTTGTTCTTAAGAATAAGGAGTGTGACAACAAGGTAGCAGCCTTCTCCTCAATGTAAAAAAAATGTATGGCTGCTTTAAGTGTTGACAAGAACACCAAACACAGTTTGACCTGCTCAGACATTAAATGTATCTGAACAGTAATATTCAGATGCTTTGCTTCAACATCATCAAAGATGATTGCACGGCACTGATGTTCTCATTCCATTCCTTATCACATGCTCTCCTTTCTTGTAGGTTTTAGTGTGTGACTTTGGATTTTTTTGGCAAAGAGTTTGTGCACTGTGTCTCAATAGAATYTTGATGAGAATCATCTCTGGAATAAAGGAAAAAGACAGGTGGAGGCAGCTGGAATACAAACCTTTGACTGACTTCCCCACTTACCCGCCTGCCCAACGGCAGTTGGCTCAGCCTCCTTTGTCTTCCTCCACATCTTTATTTCTTCTTGGCTGCTGATTCAGAGGGTTCTGCACAAAAGACAGAAGATGAAACTATAAAAAATGGAACACCTTATATGTGGAATTTCTCTTCAGAATTTGAGGTAACATTGCTAGCATTGGAATAAGTGGAATTTATTAGTTTTTTTTTCTATATAAATAGGTCACTTAAAGATTTTCACAACAACATCTAAACCCTTTAGAGAGATTTTAGTAATTCTTGGTTGCTCAGGTGCCTTAGTTACACTTTTCCTCTCCAGCACTGCAGTTCCTCTGACCGGTCAGTTAGAGGCAGCAGGCAGTGTTATTTACAGTAACCATTGGTCTCAACTTGATCTGCATTCCTGACCCATGAATCATCTTCAGGTATGCATAAACACAGATCTCAATGCCTTATATGAACTGGAGGAAAACTTGGCTTTAGTATTAAACTGCTGCAAACAACAGCACTGCCCGGTCTCCCAGTACAAATATCAGTAATTTATGGTTTAATCWGAAAAACATACAGCACCGTGCAAAGGTTTAGCTTCTAAAAGTAAAAAAAAATGACTTTGACAAATCTGAGCTGAGCATTTTGCAGTTAGATTGTTTTCAGGAGTTGTGCAGAACACACAGTTCTGTCTCTGTGGTTTCTGTTTCTTCATGTAATCCTAAACTATGTGATGCCAGATTTAGAAAGTACAAAGATACTACTTCCTGTTGCAGAAATCTTTTTTTCCTCTAATTACTTAAAATGGATCGTATGATTTGACCTTAAGGGATAGACGAGGTAAAGTGCACAAATTATAATGCACCATACATTTTGGCAAATTGTATTTTATATCACGAGCCAGTCTTGCATGCACTTTTTTGTTTAAAATGATCAGTGCTGACATTGTTAATTGACTACATTTAATGAAATTTGGGTAAAGTACTTTATGACTAACTAAAACTCACTGACAAGTAATCATACTATTGCACCCATTATGTATCTAGTACAACTATTATGCCACTTAGTGCTTCGACTGCACTAGATGTTTATCACAGKTTTATAATGGTGACGTGTGATGGGCTGGCCTCCCATCCGGGTTGTGCCATTTCTCTCTCAGTCAGTGACAGATCTCTTGCATCACTCTGATGGATGGCGGTGATGTTTTACTAGACCTTMAAATGGGTTTCAGAAACTCTCCTCTTCTCATCTTTGTTACTGGGTAAAACGTCAGGAGCAAAATTCTGTCTAGTCAGACACTTCTGCGCACTTCCTTCCCTCTCTGCAAACWTTAATTATCATGATATTTATGTACGCAATTTGTTTGGGGATTTAAGTTGGCTGGCATTAGAGTTTACTGAAAGCCATGGTGCACTAAAGATGTTTGATTTATAACCTTATTTAAATGCAAACCAAAATTGTCTGTCGGACCAGTAGTTTATCTTTAGGTTTGAGATAGTTTTATTTATTTGTTATAGCTTAGTCATTTTCTGTTTTTATAAATGTTTAAATGTAAGATGCCAGATATATCTTGCTTATAGAAACTCTTGGTGCAGTGGGATATTTGCAATGATTGCTAACTGACTTGTGTGACTCCCAACTGCTATATGAGTCACAGCTCTGCATACTTATGAAAAGGCCATGTTCTTAAARCTATTACTACAATTTGTTCTTGTAAAACTTGACCTAAAGCCTCTCATGCTAAAGGGTCCTAAATTCCTCAGTAGGCAGGGGTTTGAAGTAGGTGTGGTTATAAAGAGAAATGTWACGTCATCATTATTAATTTGCTTCTAATCACAAGATGGATATTGCGTAGTTGTGATTTTTTTTAACGCTGTGGTTACGAACACTAAAATTTTACTAAAATGTGTGTGCATAAATTAAAATGTGTCACTAAAACCTCTCTAAACATCAAACCAAGCATCTTGGATWTTTTTTCATGTTCATGATCTGCACATGCTCCAGCATACGTTTGAAAAGGTTCTGTGCTCATACAGCAATCTCGGCTCTTGGAAATGTTCTCTGCAACACATATGGTAAGAGCGAAAACAATCTGCAAGTGTTGAGTTCTTGGCGAGCGATTCTATGCATTGAAGAGAATTCACTCCACTTTGCATTCAGTGAATCGTTTGACTGTTTTAGCTCATTACATGTTGACTTTAATGCTTGGCTTTGGATCAGCGTTTTAATGAATCCTGACATGTGGGGGAGAGGTACTGAAGACAAAACAGCTTTTAATACACCTTGCTCATCTACCTCTGTCACTCTGAGATTTGTGCTGCAGGCGACATTTCACTGGATGTCTGTTGCTTTAAAAAAAATCATAACATCATTACATAAAACTATTAAATGGGAAAGCAGGTTGTCACTGCAGGCAGCGTGACAAGTCACTAAGATTAAAATAGGAAGGGTTTGCTGAAATGTTGGACCACTTACAGCATTTTGCTCAGACTAAATTTTTGCTGCTGTTTGGGTTTACTAACGTGATTATGTATTACTATGAAAATGTTTTTGAGCTGCCTCTTATATTTAACATTTTGATTGGAAAATAAGAAATGGGTACAGCCATTTACTGAAGAACATGTACATTAATATCAACGCAAACTGAAAGTCAAAACCCCAATTTGCACCATTTTAAAAGCCACAAAATAAATGTAATATATTTTTCAAAAAGAATAAAAGAAGTAGGTCCTCTGGATGGGTTCTTCTTTAGTGAAACGTTTCGTCTCTCCTCCAAGGGACGTCTTCAGTCTGATGAGTTTCAGGTGAACTCAGCCTTATAAGCACTGCCTCCACATAGTGGACAAACAGGTTAGTCACATGGAAAAGATCCACTATGTGGAGGCAGTGCTTATAAGGCTGAGWTCACCTGAAACTCATCAGACTGAAGAAGTCTCTTGGAGGAGAGACGAAACGTTTCWCTAAAGAAGAACCCATCCAGAGGACCTACTTATTTTTTTCTTTTTGATTTTTTCTACCTGGATTACTGAGATGCATCAGGACGTAATTACATAATATATTTTTATTTTTTAAATCTATATTTGCAGTTTCTTTCAGCAGTCGTCAGGAATGTTTCCAGGGTCCTTGAAGGGCATTGAAAAGTCCTGCTTTGGATTTATTTTTCTGCCTTTTGATCAGCTCTCCTTCAGATCTTACACCTGGGCTCTGTGGGGACCGATCCAAGACTAAGTGTTCTGTTATGTTTTTTAATCCTGTGTTTGAGATCATCTGCATGAAAAATAAATGAGATGTTGGCCTTATTATATTCTGTGTTCGATTAAAAATCAGGATTTAATAGTTATCGGGTTTTTACAGGATTTCTTAAATCAGATGACCCAGCCCCCTTCAGGTAGACCAGGGGTGTCAAACTCATTTTTACTGAGGGCCACATGAGTTTTATTGTGGCCTTCAAAGGGCCAGTTGCAATGAATTTTGACATTTCATGTTTAACTATGACTAAACATGTAATGTCTTGTTCCTCGTCTCATTGTTCTGGCTGAGCGCTGCTAACAAACAATAACTGAGCTCTACATGGTATTTCCTGCATAGAAACATCATCTTAATGCATCCTCTTTTAAACATTAAAACATACCATGTAAAACAGCTGACTAAATGTACAAAAAAAAACAGAAATACTGTTAAAAGTAAAAGTAAGATCATTTTACTCATTGTTGAGTTGTTGTAAGTCTTGAATTCGGAACTTTCCCACTTTCCGACAGAGAATTTTCATACATAATTAACATGCATTATGGGAGATGTAGTTTAGGGTTGTTTTGAGACATTAATTCAGGGCTATTCAACAAAATTGCTCAGGGGATGGAAGTCACCCGTGAGCCTTGAGTTTGACACATAATGTTAGACCCTCTCTGTTGCACTTSTTTCCTTGCTATGAGCACACTGGCCACCATACCATGACATGCCAGATCTTTGGCTAATGGCTCAATCAGCTGAGGATACACCAGATTTTACCCATGATCTCTTGTCGGACAAAGTCTGCACCATCTGCAATAGTTGAGGACAGTTGGCAAGACTAGTTGTCACAAGAATCTGTTATCGTGTGACGGGGTAACGACGCAAAATCTGCAAGTGTGTGACGAGAACAGACCCGACCCAACCTCAGTTCAGTCTCAGTCAATCAAACATGGAATTTATGGAGCCAGTTTTGACCAGAGTTAGGTGGTGTGAACAAATTATCAACCTAACTGCAAACACGTGTTGCCAACGATCATAAAGAGGGTGGGACACAAGAGATGGCATCAAAAAGAGATACAGTATGTCATTTACACAAACAATAACTTTGATTCCTATTTTCAGATGTGGCTATGCAATTATATTCTTTGCAACACTTCTTATCTTTGCCCTTTTTCTTCCCAAAATGAGATACAATCATTTAGAAATGAAAAGTTAAAAAAGACCCTGAAAGCACTGCAGAACTCAGTGTGAATTTGCCTCATGTCTTAGTAGTACGTGACATGTTTCAGACTCTTCAACCCACTGCAGCTGACTGCACCACTGACCACATACTCAGAAAATGGCATCTGGTAGCTTCTCAAATGTCGCTCACTGCCTTTTTCCACACAACAGGGACTGCAGCTGAGCAAACAAGACAGAAAGCGGCTTTAGCTGTGTAACTCTCAAAAAACTAGTCTTGATGACAAGGTTTTTTGGTGTCAAATGAGTTCTAATGGTGTTACATGAACTTCCCAGTGGATTTGCGTATGTGCTCAGTTTCTGTGAAAGTGTTGACAATTTAATGCTTTTGTCATTTATAAGGAGAAAACCTAAAAATGCCGACCTGTGCATTTTGCGATTCTTCCAGATTCTTTCTTTTTAACTCCCCCAATTTCATCATAAARTTGTACCTTTTAATGCTCAAAACAGCGATCTAAACATGTGCATTCATGTGTGCATAGTGGTGTGTAATGTAGAGCAGACAGCATCAACTGCAGAGCTTTTCAATGTAAAAATAAATTGATCTTCTGCCAAACTACAACCCACTCCCTCCTTGCAGGTCCCTAAATCTCAGGTTACATATTGATTTGATACCTCCATCTAAAGTTAGTTATCACCAACAGCCCCACAGCTCTGGTCCTACTGCTGTGATCCAGCCTCCCAGGTTTAAGTGTAAAATAAAACTGAGAAGTTGCGTGCCTTGCAAAGGTGATTTCATGCACTATTGCCAAATCTATGTCCTGTTCGTAAATAAATTATCTGCAATGTTTACGCTCTCATTATTAATGCAGTGGCACACAGTGTAATTTGAGCAGCTAAAATTAGATGCCAAATAGTAATTAAATTATCTGTAAATATTTAAATTACATTGCAGCAGCAAGCTTAAGCATTAAGGGGGGGAAAATCTGCAACTACATACCGAAGCAAGGTTTTTATTTATTTGTTTGCACCTTTTGTTCACCAAGTGCTGTCATCTTTTTGATTAAATCATGACACATTTATCTAGATTATGCTAGCAAGAGGAAACATTAAATAATTGGCTTTCWAGCCCTTTTTTTCTCTGCTCAGAGCATTTTTTGTTGTTGTTGTTGTTTTTATCATCCAGCCTTCATTTTGTGGGCCACCTACCTGTTCCCAGTCCTCAGTGCTTTCAGCKCTCTTCCTTTCAGACAGGAGTGCAATCACTCTGTGCCTTCAACTAATTTTTGCAACAGATCCTTCCACCAGCATGCAAGTGTGTGCTTGATGCTTGTCCTCTGCTCGGCCTCAGCGACTTCCAAAAGCTGTTTAGGGTTTTTCAAATTRCTGATGACTCCGAAGACTTTGGGGGGGTTGAGTGGGCGGTGAAGCAGAAAGGGGGGTGACTGCAAAGGGTGGGTCAAAGAGCAGGGTAAATACCTTCTAAATGATTGTTTGTTCACGTAAATTGAAGGAAGTGACATGAACAAGCGTGAGGTTGTTGCATGGGAACAACCTGGACTAAATCACATGAGCTGTGACCTTTTCAAGTGTAACATTATGATAATGTTCCTGGACTTGTTTTTTTCTTATTTTATTTTTCTTTTGCACTTGTAAAACAAACTGCTTTGAATGAATCTTGAATACGAACACAAACATTTGTGCAGGAATTACGTTTTTGCTGTCAAATTCATTTAGAAGTGCACAGACTGATTTTTGCATTCACCTCAGAAAATCAATTCTTGACGATTAGGATGAAGTAATTACTATCCTGCCAACTTCAATTAACAAAATAAAGACTTTCTCAATGACCAGTATGGATTTGATTAACTGGAGTGGAAATAATGATGATAACGTTTATTAGATAAAGTTTGAAATTGGGGCAAAGTGAATTATTTGACACATAAAACTGAGGGTTCACGCAATAAGGTAAGAACAGTTCTGATGTCATTTTGTGTTTAAAGAAAACTAACAGAGAGTTGGACCTCGATTTAAATAAAAGTTMAAGGCTGCTTTCTTCTCCCGTCTCATGTTACTCTCTCTGGTATTACATTTAGATGTCTTGTCAGTGGTAGTTTTATTTTGAGATAAGATAAATGTTACCAGCCACTGTCTGCAGAGACTTAAATAAAGAAGCGYCTCACATTGTTTCGTCCTATTGGGAGTTCTGTCATCTGCCAGGAAGCTCTTTGGTGTTTGTTTTGTGAACAACTAAAATCTTATCAAAATTATTTTAAACAGTCGTTTGATCACAAAACCATATTTAACTCAAATGTATCTTTTAGCAGTTTTTTTATTGACCAACATCTGATCTCCATTATGACAGATGTTTWAAAATTTAAAATTTCAATTTTTTTGTTTTTTATTATAAGTAGTAACAGAACAGGCTACACATGTTACCCAACAACTGCCTACAAGAAGTGGAGTTTACCACACCACCTCCAAAAAGTGTTTTTTAACCACATGCCAGTCTTACTGCATACCAAAACCCTTTACAGCCTACACTGTAAACCTTGACGTCATTATACAAGAATAACAACCATAAAACTGACACACTGTACATAAAGATTTCTACTTACAGATGTCATCAYCCCAGGGGTGGCCTTACAGTCCTGATACCGTTTCAAGCTCTAGAATATTCCAAGCCCATTACTACATTAACAAAAAGTTAAAAGTTGGAAAGGAAGTGATGAAAAGCTAAATTGGAAACATAACGTATACGTGGTTCTATGGGAGTAGATCTTGGAACAAAATGGTCTGCCATGGCCAGTAMAATAATTAGAGTTTAGTGCAGACGATTTGCAAAAGTGTGACCATTTCAGTTGTTTCTGCATTTAGTTATCGAGGTTTTGCACTTGTGTGCTAAGGTGGAAGTTTCAGATTAGTTACTGTATAAAACATAACACTGCTGAGCTGCAGCATGGTGGCACAAAGATGGATTCCAACTTTGAAAAACTGATTTGCTGAAAATTGGTGATTTGTCTGACTCAAACTTCATTTTCTTCTTTCATACTTAGCTAAATTCTAAAAATCATCCTACTCCTGACAACTAAAACAATTTTACCATTTCCTCCCTGAAGAGGAGAGATGTTAATTAGCACTTTCTCATTAGGAGGTTAAACAATTACTGAAAATATTTGATTTTGAACTTCTTCTAAGTTTGTTTTAACTGTAGAAATAATTGACAGTCACAGCTTTCACAGCTTTTTTAAATGAATTTTATTTCATTACTTTTGACTTGCATTTAAGATTACGTGCCAAATTTCTGACATGATGATGGAAGCC